TATATATATATATATATATATATATATATGTATATATTACAACTAATTTCGACGACGGAATCGGCTTCCTTAGGCAAGCGATTTGCCGTTATCTTCTGTTTTCAAAAGATGTTTGTTCGGTATTTGTTTTCGATCTGTGTAAGGTCGTTTCGATTTTGTAAACTGCTAGCTTCGACACGAAATATCTACCTCGGCGAGTCAATATACAGAAATATACGTTATAAACGGTTTAAAAATATAAGATACACTTAAGTTCGATTTTCTTATATATTTATATGACATGTATACGTATATCGTAATAAATACTGTGTTGATCCAAAATCAGCTAGCAGTTAACAAAATCGAAACGACCTTACGCAGATTGAAAACACAAATACCGAACATAAACATCTTTTGAAAATCGAAGATAACGGCAAAACGCTTGTCTAGGAAGCAGAGTTTGCAGCCGTCGTCGAAATATCTTTAGCGAGAACATTTGTATTGAACATTTCTATTATTTAATATTTTATTAAATCTTCTTTTTGCATTAATATATTATCTTTACACATATATAAAATATATACGCGGACCTTCGCGCGCCAGCGAACTTGCTGGCAGCGTGACGAGTCGCAAGTCATTCAGCATTCCTCTTACGGCGGACTCAAGAAGCCCTGGGTGCCTCGGTTCTCTTTCCCTCCGCGGTCTTTTTAGCCAGCAACCAATGTTGATCCCAAAAGGACCGAAACGCAAAGCCGGTCCTGCCCGGACGCGCATGCGCTCACGAGGACTTGTTCGTAAAGAGTAAATGCGGTACGAAACACGGAGAACACGTTCATCGTGAAAACTTGCGATATCCCGACAGTTATTATTGCTTGAAACAATGCGCATAGAAAAACAAAAAGATATGAAATGTTTTCTTTCGAGCACGCACGGCTGACGCCTATGATGGTTCTTTTCTAACTATTTATTTAACTAATAACTCGGGCAAAAGTTTGAGTTCCGTTGAGTACTGCATACAGCAAGCGTTAAATTGATAATTGTCGTTCGAATGTACATAGTAATTTCTCGATTGAAAAGTTAGTAGCTTACTTACATTATGATCTATAATCTATATATTATATAGATATTACACACGCACATATATATATATGTATATATATATATACCCCGATAGGAAAATATTTATGAAATTATGTGACAAAAATCTTGCATGAAAATTGTGATTTGCAATTATGTAGATATATTTTGAGAAATAGATATAAAAATATTGATCTTTTATAAAATATGTGTAACTGTTTGCAAAATTAATTTCCAAATATTATTTCGGCAAAACAATAACGACATGGCAAATCATCTTATAACGTATGTTTGCAAAATTAGATTTAAAAAGAAATTGTTCAATAATTGAGAAAAAAATTTTAGCTATGTAATGTTTAAAACATGTAGAAAAATATAATTGCATATGAAGAAATTAAATTGATTCATGTATATACTTGTAGAAATGCATAACGAGACTCTTTTCTAATTTTTGACAAATATTATTTACAAAATGTTATTTTGACAAAACTGTTGCGCGTTATGGCAAATCATCTTAATGCGATCATTGCAAAATCGTCGTTATTTATGATGCCATTTTTGTGCAATTTGCCTACTGGGGTATATATGTATATATATACATTTAATACAGATAAATGTTCTTTTAACAATTTTTTATAAAATCAGTATTTTAATTTTTGTGATTACTTACCGATAGCATTGTCGTTTGAGTTCTCGCCGAATGCTGCTTCGCGTGCGAATAAAACGCAACGCGCCAAGTGAACTCGCGCGCTTCTCTCCCTTCTCGAAGGTTGACAACCACTGGTCTGACTGCACTCCGTTCTGCACACCGTCATCCATATCTGTCGCGCCTTGGATCAACCGCGTCGGAAGCTTAGATTGCCCTGCTACGGACTGCGATCTTCACGGTCTCGACTTCACCGCACTGTATCCGGTGCACCACCGAGTGTGCGAAGAAGCATTCTCGCGTTAGTTCATATGCAGTTCGTCGATCGGACGACGCGACGCGACGCGACGCGACGCAATGGTGTGTAGAAGCCTTTAATTTCTAACGGGTCGATCAGACTTCCCTGCGACGTCGTTGATCACCTCCTTCGATTAAACGCCGGTCGCGTTAAAAAAAAAAATCAAAAAGTAAAACGCTGATCGCTGCCGCACGATAACGTCCTCTCCTTGTTTCACGAGCGAGCGCTAATCCATCTTCTTTCTCGAAAAAGAAGCGCCGTGTCGAAGCGCTCTTTTCATCAGCAATTAAACAAGTTTTAATAGCGCGGTAGACAACCATGCTCGGACGTTCGCTTCCAGAAACAAGCGATTCTATTTTGAAAATATCGCGCGACAGGAAAATGCTAACCGCGCGTTCAGGACATTATCGTAAATATATAGAAAATGAATGTCCGTTGGATGACCGGTCTTTTACATTGTTTATGAATTCCATCAAACGCCGCTGTCGATTACATAACGGCCGTCCGTCGCGCGCGTGCATGTGAGGTTCCTCACGAGAACGTGTAGTCGAACTGGTCCTCTGGTTCCACCGGTTATCTCCGGCCGAACGACGATCGACGGCCGATGCTACACCTTGTCTCTGGCGCGTTCTCGCTTCTGATTTTCGTGGATCGTACATTGAGATTTTTGTATTCAATAAAATTATCTTTCAGCGCGTTTAAAACCATTGTTTTCACAGAAAAGTCTTCGTTCGAACAATTGTCGAACAAACTGTTTGTATATCAGAGTTAAAAATATTTAAAAGTACTAATTTTAATTAAAATTTTTGTCTATAACACATGTGCACTCGAAGATCAAAAATCTATATTATTTCAAGTTTGTCACTGCTTTCAATCTCGATCGGTGAAATCGTTCACAAAAAAATGACGATCGGAACAATAGACGGAATTTCTTTCGAACATTCGGATCTCTCTCGTGTCACAAAAGTAAACCGAAAAAATCGAAGAAGCTCGCGCACTTTTCCGGACCGGAATCTATCACTTGTCGCGCGACAACTCCGAACCGATTCTTCTCGTAATCTTCGCGGTCATTTTTTTTTTTTTATGCGAAATTTATACGCGGCACTGCGACATACTGTTGATTAACCACTCTGTACTCCGCCGAAGCGGGATCCCGCTGGAGAAGTTTCGAGGTGACGCAACTGGCTGACCGGAGCCGAGTAGCGGCGTCGAAGCCGCCGGTTTACCGTTCGCGGTACCAGGAGCGAATGTAGCCTCTAGTGGTAGCGCTCCGAAGCGACACCTGTGAAGAGACGCTACCCTCTTTCTCTTCTTCTCGAGCCTTCGTTCGCGAACGCTCCCCGAATCGCGTCCGTTCCTCTTCCTCTACCTTGTTATTCTCTTTCTCCCTCTTTCTTCGTTTCCTGATCCCACTTCTCGCGATAACAATGAGGTTACGAGTACCCTCCCGCCGATGTAATGGCGGCGATAGCGAAACACAGAGCGTGATTAACAATATCTACGAAGGATATCGGAGTCGAGCGGTTAGAAGAGAAAACGTGACGGAACGCGCGGCAGAACCGAAAATTAATAGAGCGACTTGTCTTTCTTTGCAAGAAGTCTTAATTCGCGTTCACATTCGCCGCGAACACACTCGCGCATAGGAGCGCGTGTTAGTATAATAACGACGTAACAAAAACGCATTGACAATCAATGCCGCTGTGTCGATCGCACTGAAATATTATATACGTTTCGTTAGTAAATTGCATCTCGCGCGTATTTGGCGAAAGGTCGTTAAATCGCGGAGTATTATAAAAAAAAAAAAAAAAAAGCGACAAGCAAGCAGCAAAGAAATATAATAGCTACGAGTTCGTTCGAGACATCACGGCCACGTAATAAAAGCACGTAGGGTTCGCCGCGGCGCGCTGAGAGAAACTGTGTTCGGTATTCTCTCTCTCCTCTCTCAGACTCTTCTAACCGATCTCGAGCTCAAGTCGCGTCGGGTTGGCTTTCTTACTTCTCCGCGCGGTCCTCTGCTCCGTCGCTCAAGTTGCCAGATACCACCGCGGGTTTCTATACTCTTCTTCACGTATCCAATCATTATGTCGACTCGACAATAACAACAACACACAGATATGTAACGAGAGTTATACTACACACATTCTAAACCTTATCATTCTATAACCACGACTCTCTTTCGAAGCGAGAATATAGATACGCTCGAAAGATCTCACAAGCTCGTCATTCCGATGTTTCGTGAATTTTCGCAGACGTTTTAGCAAAAGAGAGAAACACATTTGATTTATAAATATCAAAACGTATATAAACGTATATTTCGTATTCTCTCTCTTTTTCTCTCTTTTTCTTCTTATAGACAGCCGCGAGAGAGAAGCAGTTCTCCTTATTAATCGTCTCGATTATTCATTGATTTCGAAAGGATCGGGATTATTTATTATTGTTATTTATTGTACCCGATTGTGTGTCCGGGAGGAACGGGCGAGAGTAACATCAATCATTGTTGTGTTCTATCAGATTTTTGCTTTTGTGTTACGACGCGCAAGACTTACACGCAGCTGGTTTATATACAATTTGCATTACGATAATATCAACCGAGGGGGCCGGAAATAATAATTCGTCGGGGCGGATGAGCTACGTCGGCTCGTATCTCTTCGTTCTCGCGCGCGTTTGCTCGCTTGCTCGCTCGCTCGCTCGTTCGCTCGCTCGCTCGCGTTTTCCTTTTCGACGTAATTCAAAGAGATGCACCTGCGTACGTAATTACGAGCCCCGTGGTAATAAAGTAATGGCAACAATGTGGTGGCAAACGGTACGTATCGCGAGTTGCGCGACTGAAACGGTTTCGATGTTTTTACATCTTTGTGCAATATATAAACCCGAGAAAAAATAGGTAACACATGATCATATAAGATTATTATATAAGTGATCTGATCGCGCCAAATTTTGGATCTAATTTTATATGATATCATTTATGTGTGTATGTGTGTGTGTGTGTGTGTGATTTTATATGATAATATAAAATCAGATCCAAAATTTGGCGCGATCTGATCACTTATATATAATCTTATACGATCATATGTTTTTATTTTTTCTCGAGAATGCAATAATATTATTTGAGTAATTATAAATATATATGTATTTGTGCTTTAAAGAGTTAATCGTCAGTTGTTTTGCTGTTTGAATTCGACTCCTTATCAGACAATCAATATACATCAGGTAGGAGAAACGGAAAATATTTTTCTTTTCCAAAGACGGTCGCACAAATATACAATTTCATGTTGTGAGAATTCTCAATCGTTGAATATGAATATTCGAGAATATAATTTAATAATTAATAATAAACTAGAAAATAAAGAAGAAGACTCTTCGGGCTCCGGAGTCTTTAAACTAATGAATGAAATAAATTCGGTTGTAGGAGCCGTTTGCAGGATGTTGTGCAGAGAATGTGCTTTACGCTGGTGGAAGATGGCTTTATTATCAGATTAATATTCGATAGATGTGCTAAATATTGCGAGACAAACTCCAAGTGCCTCGGTGGCCTAAGAGGGAAGGCGACGGCCCGGAAAGCCGGAGATTCCAGGTTTGACTTCTGGCTGAGGAGTTTTTTTCGCAATATTTTAAAATTAGTTAGGGAGGTATACGGAGTCTTTCATATATATGTGACGCAAATCCAGCATCCTATAGGAGGAAAAAAAAATTATTTTGACGTATACATATGTGTATACATATATATATATATATATATATATATATTTAAGCACATTCTCTGCACAACATCCTGTAAACGGCTCCTACAACCGAATTTATTTCATTCAATTTAATAATGTTTATGATATGTGTATATATATATATTTATCTATATATATATATTCTATATATATATATATATAGAATATGTAATATACATATATATGTAGAAACCGAAATAACATTGTATATATTTTTAAAAATAATTTTTAAAAATATATTTTTAAAAAATATACAATGACAAATGTATACAATTATACAAAAATATATACAATGTATGTTTCTACATACATATGTATATTACATATGTTGTAGAAACATATTCTACATAAATATATGTACATTATTAAATTATATTTTCTCGAATATTCATATTTAACGGTCGAGAATTCTCACAACATGAAAATGTATATTTGTGCGACGATGCTCGGAAAAGAAAAATATTTTCTGTTTCTTCTACCTGATGTATATTGATTGTCTGATAATGAGTCAAATTCAAACAGAGCAAAACAACTAACGATTAACTTTTTAAAGCACAAATTTTACATCAAAACTTTCACAATGTAAAGATGGTATGAATAACGTCTTACCATGCACGTTTAAGCACTATAAAAACCTAGATATTTTTTCTATACTTCAAAGAATTAGAGATACAATGCTGAAAATGAAAAAGAAAGTCCGCGTTCGTCGATGAGAGAAAACGCTGAAAGAATATTACGCGATCCAACGATACGGACTAAATATTGCTGATAATCATTACGTATATAAGTTTTATAATTAAATTGAGTATATTTTAACAATTTGTTTAGGTAAATAAATAAACTCGAATCTAACAACAAGAAGATCTCCATACACACGCGCGCGCGTGTATTGTGTCTGTGTACGTGCGCGTGTGTGTAAGACTTTGTATATTTATTCATATATTATTGCATTTTGACATTGCACAAAAATGTATATTGTATATCTATATGTATAATGGTATATAAAAGTATACTATACACGTACATATAATATAGTGTTTTTAGACGGAATAATTATCAATTTTTTTAAGATTTCAATCTCGAAGTGACATTTTCTACATGAGGTTTATGATATTTAGTTTTCATTTTCATTTGCGCTTGTCATTATCTCAGCATGCGCATTATTGCGCACTGAAAATGATTGAAACTGTCTGGACACTAGCAATCATGGAAACTGCAATCATCTAGTCTGACTAATCACCCATAAAGCTGAAAGTGCATTTCCGCAAAGGGTAAATTGGAACAGACCGAGTTATTTCTGCGTATCTCTTATTGCAAAACGTAAACACGTTGTAAAAAAACCTCGAGAGAAACATCACCTGTGTGTTATCTTTTTATTACATTTTCATACCTATATATATATATCATTAAACTGAGTATATTTTAAAAGTTTTTTTATTTAAATAAATAAATTCGAACTTAAGAGGATCCTACATCTTCACACACGCGCGCGTGAAATATATATATGTACATACATGTAGTATAGTGTTTTTCTTTATTCGAATCGCTCATAAAAAAAGTTTTACTGTTACATAGGTATCCACAAAACTTGAATCTCTCTCTCTCTCTCTCTCTCTCTCAAGCTTGCAAGCAATTAACTCAAATATCATCCGCAAAAATAATTTTTAATTCTTCTTTAGTTCTGCGAAAGTTCGGTAATCGCAACACGACTGGACAAACTGAATCTCGCTTTTTATTGTTCACGACGCTTAATTTCAAATCGCGCGAGCTCTGCAAAAAGCTGCGGCAGATCACGGGGGCGGAGGAGAGGGGGGAGCGAGAGCAGACGAGAAAACGTTCGACGGTGAAAACGGATGAGTAACGGTCGACAGCCCCCGAGACTGCGAGCACGTTGCAATGTCGATCTCAGGGCCAGCGAGTGTGGCGAACCGCGGTGCCGCGCGGGATGTATCTTCCCCGCGTTGTATATACGGAGAAAGGGTCATGGTCACGAGCAAGGCCGTGCTCGCGATTGTGTGTGCACGATGCTTAATGCTCCGCGCTCGTGAACGAGGATAATGGGGCCTACGAATTTCTCGGTACCGTCTTGCCGGGCGCGCGCAACTTCCCGAGGGATGCAATTACCGGGCGGGCGGGCTGCGCCACGATCGGTGCCTATCGACGCGAACAAATTGAAAGAAAACATCGTTATCCGATGTTATTTTCGTGCGCGCGCTGCGAGCACACACACACACACGCACGCACACACACATACACACACACACACACACACGATACGTGATATCGAATATCGCGCCGCGAAAAAATCATCATGATTGCATATGTATATAAAGCTGGCCTCGCGCCGATCTGGAAGCCTCGCTGCCAGTTTCTCAGCTGTACGAGATTCGCCTATACGTGAAATTACCTATTTGATGATAATATCAACTAAGTAGCGATCGCGCGAGAGCGGCGCGGGGCCTTATGCGAGGGCCCGATGCGGAACGGCGGCCACAGACGGAGTGATCTCCTTTTCGCGCAAAGTAGCATCGTCCGTAAGAAAGAAACTGATCATTTGTTAAACGGCATCGGTACTGTGCTATTAAAGAAAGAGCGCACTGTTATTATACCGAATACGGTGTATCAGAAAACTCCGGACAAGAGCATGTGTAGTAACGTGTATCTCGAAATAACTATG